CCTATTGGCGCCCGTGGAGGAATCGTGAACAATGCTGGTCGTCATACAGTATCTGACGGCTTGAGTTGCAGTCCCGCGTTCGATGGGATAAATCGATTGAATTCGCATCTTGAATCTCAACAACCGTTGGAGATGATCGTCGGTGCTGATTTGATGCTGCCATCGCCAATGCGTCAGCATCCAACGTGGACGGGAATCAATCTAGCAATACTTGCGAAGATGAAACTGCTCCACGACCCCACTGACGGACTTTGAGGCGTTTACATGGCGATGACGATTACTAATGCTGGGATGCAGACGCTCCCTGGGCTTGCGTAGTACTATGGGACTATAAGTTGGAAGGCATGGGCAATGAGGGTTTCCTTCTTCATTATTTGACTATTGAGAGTCCAGCAACGGAGCGCGTTAGTATCATCCCGTGATTCGCCTCCAGAGCTTCTGATACCACGTGGCCGTTGTCACCCAGTCAACATGATCTACAGTATCTTGGGAAGCAGCCCTTATTCTCGGTATCGACCACATCCCACTCCGCTTTGAAATGGCAGCATATTCAACCTTGGAGAGTGATTCGAGGTACCGAATGTCTCGACTCTTGTCCTGAAGTCGATCCGAACCGTGTCGACCAAAGACGACGTCGTGTTGGACTCGAGCGAGTCCCGACTTCACCAACATTGTGCCCAAATCGACTGGTAACCAAGATCCACCTTCCCAGTAGGCGATACGAGCAATCGCGACTACATCGTCCTGATTATCCGAGGTTGTCGACAGTAGCTGGCATCGTACCAGTGCACGTTCTCTAGCCAACTCCTGCAACAGCAAATTCTGGTGCGAGGCATGGCTATCCTGAGATACTCCATACACCTGAACACGAATCAAGTCGCTCGGATCGTCGTTGCGGCCGAGAGCAACCGCTGTTGGACTTAATTGTGTCCCGATTTCAAAGTGATTTCTCGACAGCAGAAGTCCAGCAGGTGAAAGGTGCTTCACGCAGAGAACAACTGGGGACCATGCTATTGACGAAACAACGTCTGCAGTCGAACCAAGGACCGGCGATTCTACTCGAAAGACGCGACAAGTTAAGACACATCGACGGTAGAAAAGCGACTTGGGAATATCCTTTGTCGTACGATAACGAAAGAACAATGGTGTCTGAGATACGGCGTAGGCTCCCAAGAGAAGGACTGTCGAAAGGGTCGCATAGCGAACTATAATCAGATTTTCGTTGACAAAATCAGTGACCGAGTGCATAGACTGAGCTAAAGACTTTCGTAGATCTGGGCTCTTAGTGATAGCGTGTTTGTTGCTGTTGCTATCATCGCTTTCCATCAAGTGTAGTGGCGGCGTCCCAGCTCCATTGTTGTCGTCGGTTTTTTTTTCGTGCCACTCCTCGTTGGTATTCCTGTCATCGTGCATGCTGATTTCTCAATTTTCAGGGAGCAACAATTAGTATCTCACAGCACAAGAGGAATTGCAGGATCGAGGCGCCTCGTTTCAGAGATTGCGGTATCAGTCTGAAGTTGGAAAGGATATACATAGAGCACACACAATGAACAAATTGGAACATCATCACCCTGTGGCCACCGCAATTGTCACAATTGGAGCTCGCAGATCTGCTACAGTACCAATTCTATACTACTTGTACATTACTGTAGTATGCGATTTCTACTCTATTGTACTCCCGTTTTCGCTATCAGGCGAGTCGACAGGCTGTACAGCTGTCATCAATGATACACCATACTCTCTCTCTTGACTGCAGCAGTGTAGAAGCGAAGTTCTGGTGACTATCAATCATCTTCTCATGCTTTTTCAAAGGCGTCAGACCAGAATGATAAAGGGCTTCAGTTCTACCTTTCCAACCGTCGCTGATTCTTGCCCTTGTTTCCTTGCGCTTTGTTTCGCTTTGCCGTTGGGGGGAGCACTTCATCCGGTCCACTAGGGAGCTGTTCGCCGCTTTTTTCGATTTCACGCTTGAGTTGCTGCAGGACTCGGATCTGTGCCAACTTTTGCGGACTAAGCAAATCCCAAAATACCCCCGACGGCTTGGGCTTGCGGTTCGGTACTCGGATGATGCGAGTCGGAGTAACTATGATATCTACGGGTACGTCGTGTTTGGTGAGCGTCGCCTCGGGCATGGGAACCACCTGTTCGTCGTGAACTGTAGTTACAACAAGAGTCGTCGCGGCGTCCAGGTTGCCCTGAAGACTAAGAATGCCCCATTCTAGTTCCGCGAAACCTTCCCCTTTACCAACACGCGCTCCAGATTCGGGGCAAACGGCGGTACTGCCAACAATCACCAAGTCAACATTGTACTTTTCATGTAGTCCGATGGGAGTTCCATATTGTGCAACACCCTTGGATGTTGTGACCTCATTGATTTCCACACTAGAAGGTAACAAATCCTTCCGCAATATTGAAAAGAATCCTGTTCGAAGCCTCGGTTGTGGAGTCAACAGCGTTTTGCCTTCAGCCAATACTCTAAATCGCACACCCTTTTGAGGTGTATCAGGGTTAACCTTGATCAATTTGGCATTGATAAACTCAGGGAGCGTTGCCAAACGAGCAGCTGCCCGATCTGCGCCTTCGAAATTCGGAATACGATGGTGTACCGGACGAGGTGGGCGTGCAATGTTCCGTTCCTCCAACAGGTCCCAGATGCGTTTTCGAATCACCCACTTCCAAGGTGTGCGAAGTTTCGAGAATTCCTCTTCAGCCAAATCCTTCATTGCGTCCATTGCTTCTGCGTCTTTGGCGAGACGATTCTCTTCGTATGCTTCCTCATCAAATGTACTCATTGAGAGTTTGGTTTGGTCAACCCGCGAAGCACCTGGAATACTCGTGAATGCTGTCGAGCACGTAAGTGTTGCAGATAGGAAAAAGAACCGAAAGAGCATCATTCTGTCGACAACGGGTGCGCAATGTAAGTCAATCGTACGGTAGGAAGGATCGCTGGCTGCCAAACTGTGTCATCTGTCGTTACAAAATCGTGGCGATCGCAGTCTCCGACAAGAGATGATACATTTTGAGTTAAGAAACGACATTGACATGATGTGCTTTGTGCAGTGTACTGAGTCAGTGCATGCTTTACGATAGAATGTGTACTCGTACATACTGCGTACTTCATTTACCTGCAGCCTTCAGCTGACTGATGGCTGACGGGTCGTGTTACGGTGTACTGTGCACTCGGAGGGTCGGTGTCTTCGGAGTATTTGTGTACTGTCATACTGTCATACTTGTACTTCTACTACCGGTAGTCACTTCAGATAGACGCCCTTGAAAAAAACGCTCAAGTTGAACGATCAAGATATCTGGGGGTCAATTGTTGACGGCAAAAAATTCAAAAAAATGGAGTTCGTGACAAATTCAAGCGTCGAATGCATACGTGCATCATAAATCTGGCGATGATCAGTAGCACTTTATTGCAACTGATACCATCCTTCATCTACGTCGTTTATCTGACGTCAACCACAACTGGCTTCAGTATAATCCTCACGACTCCGATGCGTCGAACATGTGGAACTTGGACAGGACCGCTACGAAGTGATCGAACACTAGCATCTGACTACGTTATCAACCTATCGGAATCCAGCTGGAGTGCCTATCGAATTAATTGTGTGACAACCGACAAAAATGCACCTAAGGGTGAAATGGCTGTGACATCGCTGTACACAGAGCTGTCTGATGCCGTTGACCCGGACTTCACGTTGTCCGCAAGCGTGCTCAACGACATCATTACAGTCATGCTACAACATGGCCCCACTTTGTCGGGGTTGGACGAAACCTTGATTGCCATCCTTTCTCGTATCATGGCACAATGGGTCATCCAAAAACAAGGAATCCTATCACAACCTTTCGCAGTTCAGCTACCGAATGAGGAGCTCACAGTCTCCCTTAATCTGCACAATGAAAATGAGGTGTTGAAACTTTTTCAGCCGCTCATTAGGTCGACTGAAACTATGGAATTGTCGGAAATGGTAACACAAAATGGTGAATGCCTGGGCATGGTTCCACGAAAGCTAGTTCACAGTGCCAATCTTCTCCATCGAGGTATTGGTATGGTAGTTGCCAAGGACAAACCAATTCTCCAACCAGGTTTCTCAGACTTTCCTGACTTGTACACACATCGCCGGACCGACAGTAAGCGCATATTCCCGTCGCTGTACGATATGTTTGTGGGCGGCGTTTCTACAGCCCGAGAGGACGCGAAGACCACTGCCGCTCGCGAAGTGGCAGAGGAGTTGGGTCTGGAGCGCGCGCTCTGGGATCCGACCATGTTGTCCGATCCCCTGTTCAACTGCACCATATGTACTTCCTACAATCGCTGTGTTGTGACCATGTTTTGCTGCACCTTTGATTCCACAAAGGATGTGATACGATGGCAAGAGGAGGAGGTTGCGTGGGGAAACTTTATACCGTACGATGACATTGTAGCGTCTGCTGACCTGTCGATCCAAAGGTTGATCGACGGAAAATCATGGCCCGGTAGCATTCCACTTGACATGGAAGCAAGATTGTCAAGGAGCAAAGTGCACAAAGGAGTGGACTTGTCAATGAAAGATTGGGACTACGTTCCGGACGGTCTTTTGGTTTGGGAGGCATGGCTGCGATGGCAAAACGAGCCAAATGATAGCTGACCTGAACCTCTAGTTCTCGTCGTAATTGCGCCGACTGTACCTTAACAACCCCTCCATTGTACACACCATCGATAGGTCGATGAGCCTGGAAGGCGTGATAACTGTGACTCAGCTCCAAACCGTAGTCGAGGAATGTGACAACATTTACTGGTGGTAGATATAGTTTGTGGAACCTATGCCGACGAAATGTTACCAGTACTATCACGCAGAACGTCATGCTTCATGATGATGCCGTTGACCTTTAACGTGAAAAAGGTTAGACGATTTTGAGCTTTGATGGATAAATGGATACACCGTGGACCGTGGACAGCGGGTATGCAAAAAGAAATCGACGATGGCAGGATTCGAACCTGATCATACAAAAGAAATCGACAATGGCAGGATTCGAACCTACGCGGGGGAACCCCAGCAGATTTCGAATCTGCCGCCTTAACCCCCCTCGGCCACATTGTCCAGTACGTTGAATGTTCTACGTCTCTAATGCAATGAAAAATTTTGTATTTAAAGAGTAAGTTGTACTTTCAACACATATGCTTTGTGTATTACAGTACAAGTACCGTACATGACTACATCAAGGAGCGGTATTCTGGATTTGAATATGACCGAACGCATATCACTGTGGTTGGCCCATCGTTGATCATTGATCATAAATCCTTCTCTACTTTGGTTCTAAGTTCATCCAGTTGGTGCTGTGATGTTATTTCATCTTCCTTGCTAAGACGTCCAGGGAAAGTTCGCATGTCGGCGGAGTACGGCAGCGGAAGCGCTGCGACTCCTCCTCGTTCCGACAAAGCAACTCGACAACAAATACAACACGATGACCAAGACGTTGAGGCACTTGCAACCATTGTGACGAAGGATGATCTGGAGGGGATCGCTTTGTTGCGCCAAATTTTCCCAGAATTATCGGTCGAGGAGTTGCACAAGCTCCATACGGATCGCCTCCTGCGCCGCCAGCAGTCAATAGGTGGAACCCATCAACAAACAACGGCGGAGCCCCAACCGACGTCCTTGCTGGGGCGACGACTGTGGAATGAGTGGCTGTCTCGAGATCAGGATTCGAAGGAAAGTGAGCAGGATATAAGTGCGATAAACTGCTGGAGACCCATAGAATTGCCAGATGGCTTTCTGCAGTTGCCACCGTCACTGGCTGTCAGGAGGTTTAACGACAAGAACGGAAAGTGGTACTATTTGGTAGTAAAACGCCTGGAAGAACAAGTCTTGGAGCAGCATGCGGCACTAGAAGACTTTTCAGGATCACCAGTACATCTGTCTGAGAATCAGGGTTGCTACTCAAGGGTGATCCATCGTGACGTGAAGACTGGCTTGGGGATGAGTTTGTGCGAAGAAGGGGGTAGGGTCTGGGTGCATTCCTTGCTGGGACGGGATGGGCGTCGATGGTTCACAGCCCCATCCGCATCGGAGCGAGGTGGTCCAGCCATGGCGGCAGGTGTTAAGCCAGGTCATTGGTTGCTTGGAATCAATGGTCGAGCGTTAATACCACCGTCGTCTGACCAGAAAACGTTGCTCCGTGATGCCGTCTCGGCCATTCAGTATTCTGCAGATCCAGTTGTACTTCATTTGCGTGAAATCAAGGTTGATTCCCTTCATCCCTTGGCTAGCAAAAATAAAAGTGAACTGTGTACTCCTCCGAGAGGTCCTGCATTGCTCGACATGACCACACTTACCTCGTTAGATGAGGATTCGAAAATTTCACATGACAAAGCGATACCTCCACCTCCCCGGATACACCCCTTTGTGATGGAACTAGATGCCAAAGGATTAATGAAAGGCATCGAAGGTAGGTGCGCGAGGGGGCTGCAGCCAAGGTGCTCATCGATACAAGCGCTGTTCTGACACTTCATCATCCTTAGACCAACTGCGATGCACAGAGCAATTACGGCAATTCACTGAGCGAACGCGTCAATGGGAATCCTTCTCTTCATTTCGTCTCGACGCCCGCACTTACGGTCTTTGCTCTCATTTTGATCCGAGAGACCTGCCACCAAAGCATTGTGACGAGCATCTGGCCTTGGAGGGGGTAGAGGAGGTCTACATGCGTCCGTTTGCGCCGTCGACGCCATGCTTGGATCTGTCGACGGATGATATACCATATGAGTACCTTGCCCCGGGCGACGACTTGTCTGTTCTCACTGACGATGACGAACCATTTCTCGTGGAATCAACAAGCTTTTTGAGTGATGGCAGACCAGTTGGCTTGAAGGAGTCATTGCATTCTCCAACGTCCTGGCAAAACTTTCCGGGACACAGTAAGCAGCGGCAAAGTCGCACAACTAATGGAACCGGCGGTGAAATCTTCATACCTCTTATTGGTGTTCGAAAGGCACTATGTGTCCGAATCGTCAATGCATTCGTGGACGAGACGCGAACAGCTTATACGATTTGGGTCTTTGACGTAGAATCCGGACGCGAGTGGTATGCCCCCGTTCGATATCAGTCTGATTTTCAAGACTTACGGTTGGCTGCCTTACCGTTGTGCCCTTCGTTGTCGCATCTCCCCTTCCCACATATCGCCTGGAAAGTATTCGGAAGAGATAAGTCGGAAACCGAGGAGATCCGGGAGGTGAAGTGCCGTCAGCTCGAATATTTTCTCCGAAAACTATGTGGTTTATTGTATACGGATGCGCTGCATCCTGTCATTTCGGACATTGCGATGCACCTGCAAAGCTTTCTGGGGTGTGACGGAGCTGATGCCAGCCTTCGTCTGCAATCCCAAATAACTCTCAACGAAGCGATGATACGACAGATGACTGACGCTTCGCACAGCGGTTCGCAAATGAAAGTGCGCCTGCTGTTGAAGCGTGCCATCCAACGCTACGTGTATCGACTTTTCCTTCTGGAACAATTACAGAAAGTTGTGAACGATTTTGTTGATGCCACCAGAGAGAGAGGTCCCAAACTGCGAGACATTGAAATCATCGAGTCTCAAGGACGCAACAAGCTCAAGGAAAGAGCCATGGAGGACCTGGTAACAATCCAAGCATTCTTGGATCAACTTCAAAACACCATAATGGAAGGCTGTCGGTCGGATTTCCATTCAATCTGCCAGCGCCGTGACTTTGCTGTTCTACGCCCCTTTATGGAGGGATCACGCGGCGATGCGTACGTTGATCGTGTCTTCCGCGAGGCTGTCCGCGAACAAATCGAAATCGAGGTGTACGTGCCACTTCGAGGAGTCGTTTCGAGACTCCTGGTTAATGGATGGAGGCATGATGACATGGAGATTCATTTCAAAATGAACGAACTGAGGCGACGACCACAATCCAGAATGCGAATTCCTCCTGATCAGCAAAGTCCTTCGGGTTGGGCATCTGCGTCCCGCATTCTAAACGAAGGTGTCGGTATGAGCACCTTGCCGTGTGCAAAGCTGCGAGCAATCGTTGACTCAGCCACTGAAATCTCTCGTTTGTACGCACAAGAAAGGCGCGTTGGCGAGGGCTCTCAACAGGAGTTGGGAGCCGATAATTTTCTCCCAATTTTCATCTACTGTGTGGTTCAGGCCGAGATGGAAAGACCGTGCGCACTTTGTGTTCTGCTTCGAACTTTATGCGAGCCAACGAATCGAATTGGGGAGATTGGCTACTATCTTGCGTCGTTTGAGGCTGCACTGACTCACATCCAGGAGATAAATCTAGCAGAGAACTAATAATATAAGACCGTTTGTTTACGTGGACAGAGCACTTTGTGACCATAGGACGGCATACGCTCCATGGATATTACGAGGACCTTTCCGTTAGCCAACCGATCGAAGTGGGGAGGATCTACTCGTTCGTCGATTGTTGGACGCCTCACTAATGATAGAAGCCAAATAGCAACCCCTAAACAGTGCGTGAGATTCGCATCCTTGGACATACTTCGAGTACCGACGAGATTACAGAAATGCAAGTTTCAGATCTTTGCGCGCTTTCATTTCTGGAAGCACTTTTTCCTTGAGAAGGTCGAATGTATCGGGCGCTGTGTCGGGAAGGGTACACACTGTGTATCCTTTCTGGTTTGCGTGTGTATCCAACACAACAAGATGAGTCTTCCCCAGATACATAGGCGCTTTCCCACCTCCCTGTTCAGATTCGCAGAGTGCTTTTAGTCGATTGGGGGTTCCTACCACAATTGCAAAGGATTGGTTTCTAAGCATTTCCTTCTGTTCCTCGATGCTCAAGTGCTTAGCGAAGAATTTCCCGCATCGAATTTTCAGCCCGGATAGTTCCTTCAAAACAGCAACAGCTCTCCTTGCAGATATGCAGACAACGACAACCATTGGTGATCCAATAGGTTTCCATCCCTTCAACTTCTTTTTCGTTACCACACTTCTCAGTCTCGCTTCTAGGGAACATTCTTTTGAAGTGACGAACGCAGATGGGTGAATGTTCATTAACCCCTCAACCGATTCGCCCTTCATCTGCACGTAGTGTTTCAGTGACATTGTCAAAAATGCAGCCTGAACATCAGTCGGCTGTTTTTCCAGATCTCGACCTGCCTCAATCAAAACCTTCATGGAAGACTTTTTCGACGGAGCCTCGTCTGCTTTTTCAACTTCGTCAACTTAATCCTCATCGTCTCGCTTTCGCTTCTTCTCAACAATAACTTCTTGCCGTTCAATCTTTTCCCGTAATCGATCTTCAGCTGTATCCTGGACGGAGGGATTCAAGAATTCATCGTCGCTATCAAGGTCGTCTCCTCCCATGATGAGGTTTCTTTGGGTGGGAGGGAGTTTTGCAGATCTGTCACTCGACCCTCCAGATGATGATGGTTGGTGGTGACTGGTGCACAGCGAGGAAACCCAAGGGCTGACGCCGGTTGGACAAATTCCTCCACAATTTCTACCACACAATAAATACCCTGTGTACATACTCGTGTATAGCGTATGTAGCGTACTACGAGTTCATAGGACAACATGCCAGGCAAGAACAATAGTAGTTACCAGTACTGGTACATGGGTGGACTGCCAGTATACGGTATGCATGTAACATAGTAGGGGGGATGCATGCATAATATGATCAGGGTTTGACAGTACGTCCCCTGTGGTCACCGGAATAGTATAGTACACTAACGCCTCGGAGAGTCCCTCTTTAGTATACTAATAGTACATAGTACTTCTACCTTCGTACTCCAGAGTACCAAACTAGTGTACTATTAGTGTACTATTAGTGTACTATTAGTGTACTATTAGTGTACTATTAGTGTACTATTAGTGTACTATTAGTGTACTATTAGTGTACTATTAGTGTACTATTAGTGTACTATTAGTGTACTATTAGTGTACTATTAGTGTACTATTAGTGTACTATTAGTGTACTATTAGTGTACTATTAGTGTACTATTAGTGTACTATTAGTGTACTATTAGTGTACTATTAGTGTACTATTAGTGTACTATTAGTGTACTATTAGTGTACTATTAGTGTACTATTAGTGTACTATTAGTGTACTATTAGT